TATAGAGGAGTCAATGTTTGGAAGCTTTAGGGTTCATCAGTGGTATATATTGCATAGGGATTCGTATATTTTGTAATATATACATGTATCTATTTACACCTGTACGCGTATTCATATAGCGACATACCGATTCTTCGGTATTGGTGACATTGTCGTAAATCGTTTTGCTTCGGACAGGCGGCGCTTCGGTTGGTTTGTTGGCGGTGGCGTCGGAATCGGCTGACACATCTGCTCGAGAGTGAATCAACAGTACGGTGTACGACAATAAGTCTATAGGTTACGACATTAAGTCTATGGATTAAGACAATAAGTTCATGGATTATGACAATAAGTTCATGGATTACGACAACAAGTCTATAGATTACGTCAATAAGTCTATAGATTAGGACAATAAGTCTATAGATTACGACATTAAGTCTATGGATTAAGACAATAAGTTCATGGATTATGACAATAAGTCTATGGATTACGACAATAAGTCTATAGATTACGACAATAAGTCTATAGATTACGACAATAAGTCTATAGATTACGATAATAAGTCTATGGATTACGACGATTAACTTTTGGAATACGACAACCAGCCTGTACAAAACGACGAGAAGCCTATATAATACTACAACTATCCTACACAGCATCCGTCCATTCGTCTATGGAATACGACAATTGGTCTAGAGCCATGGAATAGGACGATGGGGTTACTAGCCCAGGTGTACCGTGTCGGTCGAGAAGTACGTTCAACTGACTAGGCCTGGAGAGTGGCACATGCAACACAGTACTATCGTCATAAGCGCATTCTACAACAAGTACTCGGATAGTAAGAAGGGCTGTACCGTTGCTATGCAGTCAGACACCTTAGTTACGGAGCAGCCACACGGCCAATGACACACATGCGTATAGAAATGGGCACAGGGTAGTATGCTGATCATTACAAGCGCACACAACCGGGACTCTATCAGCAGATGATATATAACTATACTCGTGTGTACAGAAACATACACACGCACACAAGCGTACACACCTGAATTACTATCAGCAGATGATATATAACTATACTCATGTGTACAGAAACAAACATACACACACGTAGCGTACACATCTGAATTACTATCAGCAGAGGATATATAACTAAACACATGTGTAAACAAATAAACACACACACATACAAGCGTACACACCTGGAATACTATCAGCAAAGAAGGTTGCTCTCATGACGGGAGTGGGTAGTTCAGCGTAGTCGTTAGGCATTGACAGTGAACTGCCAAAGCTGGGCGCATGTTGGAGGGCCAGTGGAGTGACAACTTGAGAGTGGCGTGTCGGATTTGTCGGATTTGATGCCCGTGGTCTGGGCCCATTGACAATTGATCTGTCGTATTTTGAAAGGGGTTGCTTGAGGTCAGTATGAGGGTGGTGTAGATAATGGGAAGGAACTAAGTTGCCAGATAGTCTGTGCGACGTTTCTGATTGATTGAGTATTGTGAGGTTAAGCGTCTGTAGAACAGCGTCAGCGCTACAGGTGTCGTATTTGAGGATCTTGGCTTAAAGCTCAGTACTGGATGGGCCCAAAAGCCCAGTACTGGATGGCTGCTAAAACAGGGGCGGACAAATGTCGGTCATCTGAATTGTCAGAATATATGATTTGTCCCGAGTGTTTGTTTGTACAGTAGTGTATGCTTCCTTTAACTTTCATTGTAACGGTCATGTGTAGTTACTATTCAGTTGCTTGGTGGATCGCAGCGATACTCTATCTCACGAAGGAGTATCATATCGCTCTAACTTTTGTCCCCTTTTTGCGTAAAGTACTACTAAGTCACGTTCGATGTATATGTGATATACGTATACACACACACGCACAAACACAGACACACAAACACACACACACACATACACAGACACACATACACACACACACACACACACACATATATATATATATATGCATACACACCCTTGCAGCGTATCTATGCTCCGTTGGCCTGCCAAGTGGATGTAGACGGGTTCGCGGCTGTTCTGGAAGCCATTGGCTGAGCTGTTTGAGAATTCTGTGTACTGTGCTATTGCTTCGGCTTTCGTTTTCAGGATATCGTCCTTGCTGGTGGCAAACATGCTGCTGGTCTGACTCTCCTGTGAATAGAAAAGTATAATTGTATATTGGATATATGTGGAAGCGTAAGATTAAGTTGTATATAAACGTATAGGATGTGTGTGTCTGTGTGAGTGCTTACTATGTACATTGTGTGTGTCTGTGTGTTTGGTCAATATGTACTTTGTGTGTGTCTGTGTGAGTGGTTGATATATGCATTGTGTGTGCCTAGTATGAGGTATTGACATGCCGAACCGGAAATGGAATAGCTTAATACAAACAAACTCGTTGCGGCAGTCGAACTAATTAACGCTCTTCTTGAGCTCTTCGAACGTATAAGAGAGTTCGCTCTTTCCGTGTTAAAGTTTTCAAGTGCCTAAGTGTAAAGTGTCAAAGTGTCAAATTGTGTCCAAGTGTCACAGTGTCAAAGTGTCAAGTGTGTCAATCAGTACAACTTACCGATCGTGTCAACATGTCGTGACTGAGGGACTCGTTCTCCAAAGACATGGCGAATCGGCCGCGGTCCGAGATCGTCTGATGGTCCATAAACATGTTGCCTAGCAACACCTCTGAAAAGGTTTGGAGATGAAGGTTTATTCGAAATAAATAAGAATGTGATGAACCCACCCTCAGAGGAACAGATGCTGTCAGTGCAATAGACATATTTGTACAAGTGGTTTTGGTAGGTAAATGGTGATAAGAGACGAATAAGTATGTGGAAGTGAATTGGGAATGTGGAAGTGGATTAGGAACGTGAAAGTGGATTAGGAATGTGGAAGTGAAATAACTTAAGGAATGTGCTGCGGACAAATGTTTTCTGGTGGCGCGTCAATGTATGCCTTAGTAACACCTCTACAGAAACCTAAACCCTAGACCCTTAATAGAGTCAGATGAAAACGCGGAAAGGGGTTTAAGGTTTGGGAACATAAGAACCAAGGACTGGTTTGAAGTAGACCCTCAATTGTAAAAATGTGCGCTACAAATAGGACAGACGCACCTAATTCCGAAAAATCGGGCCGATTGTCCGGGGCCGCATCCCAACAACGGGTCAACATAAGATACAGCTCAACCGGCATACTCTCAGTACGTGACTCTCGAAGACCGCGGTTCAGGGCTTCCCGCACTTGCTTAAACTGATATCATGGCAATCAAAATAATGTTTTATTAGTTTGAATTAGTTTGGATTTTATTGCAAGTATGCAAGTAAGGTTTTAGAGTTAGGGGCTTAGGGGTTTAGGGTTTCGAATCAGGGGTTTAGGGGTTTAGGTTACACCAGAAAGGTCATATTATGTAATAAACCGTAATAAACCACGCATTTCCAATAACAATTTGGTACCACAACCAGAACACATTAACAACAGAGCCAAACATTCATACATTCGGCCTAGAAAAGACATCAAACATACCATTAATAACACATACATAGACCACTAACACACACACATATACTACTAATAACACAGACACATACCACTGATAACACATACATATACTACTAATATCACATGCATAAACCACTAGCACACACACATATACTACTAATAACACATACACATACCACTGATAACATATACATAGACCACTAACACACACACCCACATATACTACCAACACACACACATACGTCGTTGAGGAAGGCGTATGGTGTTTTGCCGTCGTTGAAGATTTCCCACACAGTCATTGCAAAGGACCACACGTCCGACTTCTCACTGTACGCACAGTACTCAATTGATTCGGGGGCCATCCAGCGATCTGATTGGTTGATATAAATATCGCGGGATTTGATTGGTTGTGAGACGAAGGAGGCGATTTGATTGGTCTGGGAAGACAAACATACAGTGGCCTATTTGGTCGAGTACGAGGACGGTAGACCAAAACTTGTATTTATGTGACAGTGTGCATTGCTTTTCTCATCGATGCTGCAGAGTACATCTAAAAATAAACAGCTTCTGATTGGCCACTTACATGGGAGCAGACCACCCTGCGACGTTTTCGTGTAGTTTCCACCGTCTTCTACCAGTCGTGCAAGTCCCATGTCACTGATTTTGATGGTCGGATGCCCTGGAAAATGGGTCAAATGGCCTCGTTATTAGGAAAATGTGTCAAATGGCCTTGTTAATAAATGGATCAAATGGCCTCGTTAATATGAAGATGTGTCAAATGACCTCGTTCATAGGGAAATGGGTCAAATGGCCATATTAATAAATTGGGTCAAATGACCTCGTTAATAGAATTATTATTGACTACACTAGTGGAGGGTATGTATACTCCAGTGTATATACGAAGTTCACCAATATATGCCCGTAGCTGGATAGTTGACCCATTTTTGGAGTTTGTACAACTCAAAACGGGATTCAGGCAGACTCGTTCAAGTCCTCTTTAAGTAAACAGGGCCAGGAATAAGGTGCATACCTCGCCTTTTGAAGACTGAATTGGAATTGTCGAGGCCTTGTGGGAACTAAGACATATAAGTCGACGCTTACCACTACATTTGATGGGAATTAAATGCGTTTTGTTTGGGAACAAAGAACAGAAACAGTCGACTAAGGATCTTACCACAGCAATTGGATGGTCCGACACTAATATGAAATAAAACCACTTGGATCTGCTGGTAGGATACACAGGTCTATATAAATTCGTCAGGCAGGTGTATCTCCAATGGGTGCATGTGCGGATACACACCCCACACTTGAGTGGCTCAGTGGAGATACACATACGTACCATACATACCATGCTCAGTGCTACCAAGCCCACACACACTCTCTCGAAAAAACACACACACATACATATAACAACTCTATATGGTCGTCCGTGAAGACTTATTTCACATAATATACGTATAATGCTCAAGTAATAGTAAACACACAAACACACCCACACACCCACACATACACACTATATATATATATATATCACGTATTTACAACCCCCCTATATACTTGTCTGTGAAGATCTATCCCACCTACCATGCGTGTATTCTGTAGCTTCGCCCAGTAACACATTACGCGCCGCAACATCGCGATGGACCGTGCCTGTCTGTGCAATGTAACGCAGTCCTTTGCAGATCTGCCAACTGAACCACAACTTCTCCGCTAGAGAAATGCTTGTCTGTGCTTTCCTGATAGTGGTTGTGTGGGTGCATTTTACGGGTGATAAGCGATGTGTTGTAGATATGATGTTGTTGTGTATGTGTTTTTGTAGGTGTATAGGTATTTGCTTATATATACATGTATACAAAAAGATATACATACG